CTTTTCAATGACCCTCAGTGGAGAGCCACCCCTGACCACACCTCCAGTGGCGCTTCCTTGGCGGAACTTCCGGCTGTGGGCCCAGGGCTGTCATGTAGAAGGTAATGGCTGCAGCTTCACCAGTCCTGAGTCGTTGCCTTTAGGACCATTTCAGGGACTCGCTGGCTGAGTGGATGGCCCCAAAAAAGGTCCTTAAACTTTATATTTGCCACTGAAATTGTCTTTCCAAGAAGTTTAAAGTTCATAAACTGAGGAAGTGAGGGGAGAGGGGTTTTGGAGCTATGGAGCTTATATGTCTGTGGGTCAACACCCTGTACCCCTGGTGAACATCAAAATAGGTGGTACATGGGTGTTCATCCGCTCCAACATGGATGCGTTATGAGTCATGGCCGTATACCGCTCATAGGGGCACGGTACCGCCTTACAAGCTCACAAATCTAGGCTGGAATTGGGACCCCAGCAAATATATAAATATATATGCTGGAATTGGGACCCCAACAAACTCCTAAAAGGGGGAACTAATTCTGGGGAAGACATATTGGTGGAAAGCATCTACACCTCCGAAATTCTTACCTGGAAATGCCCCGACCGTTCTGGTCTGCTTGTCAAACATCTTGGGTCTCCTGTTGCAATTTCCGGAACAGAGGGACTCCTCTAGTGAAGAAATTTTTGGGGAGGGATCAGTGGCGTTTGCATCCCAAGAAGGCGCGGGCGGAAAGTCGGAGACCGAGGCTGCACTCATGCCAGTATCTTGCATAACCCAGCGCTTCCATGCAAGCCATTAGTATGCGATGTTGGCATATTAATCCATCCCAATTTATTAATAGGGGGTGGCCCCACCAACAGTCTGATTCTCCACTAAACCCAGCGTCACCTCCCTATGAATAAACTGGGGTTGATTAACATGGGGTCAACATTAATCAGAGAAAAGCAATCATGTGAAGCCTAGATGCAAACAATACCGGGCTACTTCCTATAGTGGTAGCTGGCAGCACTGGGTAATGTTGACCCCGGAGTAATCAACCCGGATGAATCCTCAAGAAGCGAGTCTCCCCATTGCTTGGCCACTCGGCGTGCTGGGCACTTTTCCTGTCTGGCTCTCAGAAGTGAATCTCAAGGGTGGGAATGCATCTGGGAGATCTGTGAGAGGAAGCCACAAGTTGAATTCACTTCGGGAGTCATACAGAACCAAACAGTTTCGTTGATTCGTTGGCATTGGACAGAACAGGGGTCAAACTTCAGCTGGTAGTTTCCCCAAAAAACTGTTCGAGGTTCCAACAAAGGTAATACAAGTGACACCCGACTAACGCCAACGTTCGTCTGGCGTTTCAGCTGAGCGGGTGGCTTGGTTAGGTGAACCTCACGCTCCCCAAACCACCTGCCGAAAAGCGCAAAGCGGGGGCTGCGTTCCCAGAGCGCCCAGAAAATGGGGCTGTCTCCACACAGAAACGTCGAGAGTTCGCAGAGGGAGTTGGGGGGAGGGCAGGAAAAGGGAGCCCAAATTGGGCCGTGTTAAGGGTTATCAACGGAAAATTCTTCTCAGCTCCAGGTTATGGTGGGCTCAGGATTGGCCAGTGCCGTGCGCATGTCGTCCGAGGCTTCAACTGCGGCGCGCCCCCTGTGAGCTGAGGCAAGCCAAAGTGTTTTTTCCCACTGGGAAAAGGAAGTTGCTCAATGTCTTCCCCAGAAGGTCGACCAAGCCAAACACAACAGGTCAACGGGACAAAGACATTTGCCAGGAGACAAAGATGAACAGCCGGAAGGATTGGCAACACGAAGACGCACACAGTATACACAAGCATGTTCTTCGAGATGCTGAGAACTCGTCCCTGCCCTCAGCAATTGAGACAAGTGGAGCAAACATAACGCCAACTGCACGTCCCACTGGTTCTCCCCCATTCCGCCCACCTTGATGCCAGCATCAGCACAACGTTGATGATGGTAATCTCAGGCAGGCGCTGTCTTCTGACCATTTTGCTATGCGCCTGAGTTAACATTTAAGGATGCCCAAAACATACGCTGAAAACTTAAGCTTGAAAGACTTGCTACACTTTCGGGGCAGGGGGTTCTTTTCCTGTTCAACTGAGGGAGGTTCAGGCAAAAAGCGACCAAACCCACACTTCCAAGCAGACAAACTTTAAGCAATGCGGACCCCACAAATCCCGTTACGATGTGATGCCCAACTCTCGCAGGACAAACATGGCCTGTGGCTTGAGGGGAAATCACATATGGTTTGGCACTGCTTCCCACAACTGGGAAGAATCCTTCTCCCCTGTACCTACAGGTCATGCTAGATCCGGACATGCAAACCCATCACTTGGCCATCATGAAAACGTGGCTCGAGGGGAGGTACCTGTGCGCTTCCCACAGCCGGGATGAATCCTCCCCCTACAGGTCATGCTAGGCGTCGTGGCACCGCCAATGACAGACTTAGATGCGGACATGCAAAACAATAGGCATGATAACGCCGATCAACGTATTGATTTGCTGCACAAAGCTTCAAATTAGAAAACACAAATCCCAAACAGTTGCCGTGTACTCATACGTTTGCTCCTGCAATGCAATGAGCTGGCTTGTTTCCTGACCATTTCTCGACCTCACTCAGGGCCATACCGCAGTTGCCGGCAGCAGTGACGTCAGCGTGAGAGACACAATGTACTGTGCGGGCCGGGGCGGCGCCCCCTCACACCCCGCTTTGGTAGCAAAGGAACATGTCGAGGAAAGCGACCACCCGGATGGGTTTTCTGAATTTAAGCAATTCCTATATTGCGCACTGTCAAGAATCCGCCAGTGGGGTATAGCAGTACAGCCATAGCCATGACCTTCTTCAAACGAGCCCCTCACAGCAGGGGTGTCACAAGGAAAGAACCCTTGGAAACTGCCTGGATATGCATGCAGTAGCGCCAACCAAATGTTGATGCGAGGAAACCCTCGTCATTCTTCATGTTTTTCATGTGTTTTTTCTTTATTTCCTTCTTCCTTCTTTCCTTCTTTGCTTCTTTCCTTCTTTCCTTCTTTCCTTCTTTCTTTCTTTCTTGCTTTTATCTTGCTTTCTTTGTCTCTCTCTCTCTCTCTCTCTTTCTCTCTCACTGTTTTTCTTTCAAACGTTCTTACTTACTTGCTTGCTTTCTTTCTTTGGCAACGCAATTCATGTTTTGAGACATAGACGCTTGCAGGAGCAGGTCGACACTTCGTTGCAATCCTCATGAACACCCCGTCCCCAACCCCCGTAAATCCTGTTCTCCAGCATGCGTTGCATTGCTGGCTCCACCGAAAAGAACATATCCTTTGTGCACTTGGCACTGTGCCGGCACTTAGCTGCTCATTCACCCTGAACACCACATGGACACCTGCCAGCCGACTGCCGGAATCCCGCTACCCCCCTTATTTTCCAATCGCAGTGGGGTCCGAGGCCCAGCAGTGTCCAATGCTTCCAAACCCTCCAGCCGGCAGTCGTCCGAAAGGCCCCCCCCCCCTTCTGCCAGCCTCCTCGCTGAGCGAGGCATCTGCGAGCTTAGGATCAGCCTTCGCCTGAGCACGAAGAAGCTTTCAAACTTCCTCCCCAAAGGGGGGCGGAGATCTGGAGCTGGCTGTACCAAAGCCTCGTTCCCCCGAGGGAGCCAGTTACCCTTAGACAAGGGGTCTTAAGGGGAATCTTCGTCGAGCACATAGCACCACCGACCCCGAACGGCGAGTGCCCACGGAGAACTGAAGAACCACGCCACGATCAACACAATCTGTCCTGTCAGAACACCTCGATGTTAGTCTGACGGCGTAGGCTATCCTCTAACCTTCAATGATTAAGAGATCTCTTGATCTCACGCGGCCTTGCAATTGCATGTGGATGGCAGCACCATCCCAAAACACGAATGGTCCTCAAAGAGCCAACACAAAAATCACACGTGCAAAGGAACGTGTACTGTACCTTGGCAAACGCCACAAGTGCCTGCCTTTTGAGACTTCAATTCGATTGCACGCTGTTCTGTCCTAACATTGCTGCTGCTAATACCCCGTTACCTATCAGGCTGCTTTTGCATGTTGAATAGGAATGGATCGCAAAGGTTGAACATCCATGAGCCTCAATCCAACCTCAACTTTTTGCGGCCCCACAAATGGCAATGCTGTCTTTTTCCTTGGCGCGCTCAGCGGAAAATCTCGGGAGAGCTGCGAAAAATGCTTCTGCACAATGAGCATGGAACATGCCGCAAATGGCAGCAACTGTGTGCTCCAAACGGCCCAGGCATGTTCCCGCCAAACCAAACATCGAATGGCAGCCCAAACCATGAGAGGGGCAGAAGTTTTAAAAAGCACCGGCAAAACTTGCTGGTGTTCAGTAGGGAATGACCCACAGTGTTGGGAATGAAGCTAGGGGTTTCCTTCTAGGAAACCATAGGGAATGGTTTCTTGGGGTCATTAGTTCATTCCCTGCTGAGAGCCGCAAACAAAAATCCGTGGCACTGCTGCAGGACATTCGACAAGGAATGTTGCAATTGCCACAGTCAGAGATTCGTTCCTCTCCAGGCCCAATATGCAGCAACGAATGATTGCATGGGCTGCGAGTATCAAGCATGTCTGTGTGTGGCATTGCGAGGTATGCAACGAAACCCGGCAATCAAACTCAGTGGCAGAAATCCTCACACCCCATAAGCAGCCTTGTGCAAATCCAAATTCCAGGGGAGTAATTTGGCAACTGCGAGCAACTGACCTTAGCCGTATCAATCACGTGCTCACTCTCATGGTCTGCTGCAGTGCATCGGGTTTGCCGGCAAAGGACTGCCAAACACTGCCAGCCTTGCAGTAAACACCGGGGCGGGGCAATGCACACACACACATTTATATTTTTTGAACCGGACACATTGTTGGGTGTGGTTCAAAGGCAACCAAAGGGAAAACCACCATTTTGGGGGGGCATCCCCGAGAAAAACAAAAAAGGAAACAAAAGAAAGACAAAGAAAAAAGAGGCACCGGCCCCTATGTTTCTCTCAACCTCTCCGTACGCTATCGGATTGCATGCGGCCTCCAAATCGCCCCGCCCTATTACCCTAAAGCGATCGGGGCTCGGAGCCCTTCAGTCTGCGAGCTCGTTGCCTTGGGCGTGAAGCAGGGCTTGGAGATCGGCCCCCCGCACTCGTTACCCTCCAGTTGCGGAGGAGTTTTCTGGAGGGAAAAACTAAACATATTTATAGTAGTGATAGACTCGCTTTAAAAACCAACAGGGGAAAACAAACATGTTATTTTATTTTTTAAAACTTAACCAAATGGAAGTTACGGGAAGCAACAACCAGTCGAACGTGCGGTTGCTGGGAGTAGCTTCGCATTGAACACCTCGCGACAACATAGAGGCTCTCCGGCCCAGAACAAACTTTGCCGCGTGTGATGAGGGAACAAAAATCAGAGGTCAAGGCTGGCCTTACCTCCTGATCGGTTAAGACTAGGACTCAGTTGTTCAGTGTCCCTGGGAAAAAAAGGGAACCCTTTTTGGGGAAGACCACTTTTAGTGGGGCAGCCACCCACAAAAAAAAACAAAAAAAGAAAAAGGGTGCCACTGAACAACTGAGAGGAGGACCTTTCAGACAATCTGGGTTGGCAGGGGCGGGTAGCCAACAAAAACACGGGCTTCAAGCTGAAAGGGGAAACCGTGGCTGTGATAACCATGCTCCGCGTGTCCTAGTGGGAGCGTCATCCCCAAAAGCCATACTGGATGAATGCGCGGAAGGACTACGTTTGGAGCGCTGAATGTCTAATGCTGTTGCGTTTGAGAGCACATGAAACAGACCAAGCCAGAGGGGAACATCGAGGAACCTTGCCCTGGATTTGGTGCCGGCTTGTCAAACGGCTTGTAAAGCAAACAAATCAGGAAGTACTGACAGAAAGCCAAGCAAATGTGATTGGGGGGTCAAATGCACTTGAGGTCGCATGGTCAATGATGCCAGTGGTAAAACTGACAGGGCACATCGAAACTAGCAAAGCAAACGCAAATGCAACAACCGCCCTAGCAAACAATGAAACCCCTATTGGCAAAGGCGCATCTGGGGCACATGCCGGGGTGGCTGTTCAACTTGCAGGAGCGACTTGGGCATAGGTCAGCAGAGGCAAGGCGTGGAATTGGGTCTGTCAGTTTTGAGGGTACCCCCTTTTTTGCGTGGTTTTTAAGGTACAACCAAGAGGAACACCACCAGTTTGGGGGTGTCCCCTAGCAAAGACACAGCTCTGCCGTTCCGTCCAAGGTGCGTAGCCAAAGGGCCACGCCGCCCCCTGCGCCCCGTGCGGCAGCGATGCGCTCATCCACCGCCACGAAGTCAAAGGCGGGCTGCTTCTTGTAGGGAGACTCAGCAGCTTCCGTGCGAATCCATTGGACTTGGGTTCTATTTCCTTTCTCTTGGTCTGACATAGCTTCAATAGTATAGGCATGTCTCAAAGTAGGGTGACCCACAAATAGTGGCTTGCTCTTTAAACCGCCTAAAAAAGACAGTGCCCTCAAAAAACGACAGACCCATCTTCTCCTTTTGCTTTCCCAAAAAAGACTGGTTGAACTTGTAGTTTGCCCTCTTTGACCAACCTCCTCAAGCAAGTCCCCTGGAACAAATGAGAAAATATGTCCAGTAGGTATTGAGATCGATGCAACCAACAGGCGACATCAAAAACACATATGTATTTCAGCAAATCGACGTTCTGGGTTTTTTCCCTTTTACACACCCACTGGACTTCGTCTTTTTCAGGTCTCATGGAAACTTCGCTGAGCGGCGGAGCTGCGCATGCCCGCCATGCTGCGCAGCCAGTCCGGCAGCGAGGGGCTGAAGCCGCAAATCTTCAGCTCCTCAACGGCACGTCTTGGTGTCCGAGCCAGGAGTGTGTTCAGGGGTTGGACTGGGGGTGGACACCGATTTTTTTTTGGAGGACACCCGTTGCTGCTAAAGGGAATTCAAGGGAAACCAGTCTGCATTTTTGGAGGAAACCCAAAGCCAGGGGTTGGACTTCTACGGGTTGATTCCCATTCCATTCTGTTCAACCATCGTTCTTTTCAAAATCCAGCTGCTTCCCCTGGGTGTTTGATGGTTTCCTGAAGAAAAAAAAGTATACCCTTAGAGGACCGGGGGCGTCCCCTTTTTTTTTGGAGGAAACCCAACCCAAAAGCCGGTTGCTTTTAAAGGGAATTCAAGGGAAACCACGGGTTTGGGCAGGGATTCGAGCCATTTCCTTTTGCTCGACATAGTTTCCCGAGCCGCTTCCCTTTTATCCACCTACCATGCAAAGCAGGGGGGTGATCTCCAGACTCCAGGAATCGAAATCCCTCCACCGGTTCCATTCTTAAGGGGGGGATCCCTTTTTGGAGCCAAAAGTGGCGATTTCGTGTCAATGGAAACCAGTAGTACGTTGATCCGCTTTTTGATGTGGGGAAATCCAGCGACCCCTGAGATGGAAACTGTTCCCCTGGCGATTTCTCGGGCATCCGACCGGAAGCTTTGAACATGGCAACTACTACACCACTGAATCTGTTCACCGCAACTTCGCATGCCCATAGTGATTAACCTTGCCTTTGACCTCAAAAAATAACTCAAATGGGTGTGAAGCGCAGGGACTCTGCACAAATGGTTGTTATTCCTTTGGTTCCCCTTTGCACGCCATCCGGAAGAAGGGTTCGCCCATGAAAGGAGCCCTGTGCGGAAAGTTCGTAGCCTGGGTATCCCATTGTGGCGCGTCTTGTTCTGCGGGTACTATTTGAATTGCCCAAATGGCAACGCGACAGGAGCTTCCCACCCATCTTAGTAGGCCAAAGAAGGCCCCACCCCATTGTGAGCCTTTTGCTCGTGGAAAGTGCCAGCCCATTCATTTGGGCCGCGTTCCTGCGGTTGATTTCTCAAATAACACCCAACCCACCCACGCGCCACCCACGCCCCACCCACGCCCGCCCGCCCACCCCATGTTTGGGCTGTGGGCACTGTGGGCGTGTTGTTTTTGAGTATACTGCCCTTGAAGTGACTTCAAAGGACACTAGAACACAACTAACCAATGCCAACTTCCGATTTTGAGACGCACCCACACGGCTGCCGTCTTTTTGTTGGGCCTACTTCTTTTTTCAGGGGGAAAAATAGAAACCCCCACCCCTCGCGCCGTGGAAGGAGCCACCCAACAGAAAACTTCGGAGCCTCGCTCCTCGAAGTCGAACTCCATGCGCCGGCGTTCCTCGATCCACCGGAGGGTGCCTTCGAACTCCAGAGACACTGGGCCCAGGTACACCCCGTTCCTGGGCCCGACTCCCGAGGAGCTTCGGGTGTCGGGCTTCGGCGCGGGACGCCGCGAAGCCGCGGTTTGGGGGGAACCAGTTCGGTGACACGGAAAAAACGAACAAAGAGGAACCGGGCCGTCAGGATGGCAACAAGTGACGGGCCGCAAACACATGGCAGTTGAAAAGGGCGGTTTGTGAAAAGGAAGGCTGCACCCTTTTGGGAAGCACAGTTCAGCCCGCGTGGAACAATGGAAGGGGCTGTGTATTGTACCGAAGCCTGGGAAGCAAAGTACAATAACTAGGTCCTCCAGTAGAGAGGTTAGAATAAGGGTGCCCTTTTTTCTGTAGTCGATTTTAGTATGGGAACCCTCCCCCCCCCAAAAAAAAAAGGTAAAAGGGCACTACTGGGGGACCTAAATAAGTATGCTATTTGAAGAAGAGCGATTGGAAAGCTTTGGCCGTGCCAATGGCAGGGGGCAAGTCACGAAGCGAGATGACCCCTTCCTGCCAACCGCACAGCTACATTGCGGGCACTGGCCATGATTTGCCCACACCCTAGACCCTGAACAACCTTACCCCGTAGAGACCCAAGCCCTTTGAAAACCCCCACACACACAAACAGCAAAGCCCCTTATGGCGCCTAAAGCCCAGGCCAAAAAGCCGAAACCCTAAACAATCCCGACCCGACTAAAGGTGAAACACCCCACCCCCAAATAACCATGAATCGTGAACTGTACAAGCAACAACGCTCTTGTGGAAGCCCTATTCACCCCTCCCACCCTCTTACCCCCAACAAAAACGCAGACCCTTTACCCAACACATGCCTAACACTTTCTGCCTTGACCTTGATCTGAAAGGAAACATCCTGGCTAGTGAATCGAAGCTTTGTAGAAGCTGCGTTCAAAGGACAGGCGTTGCGAGCCATTGCGTCAACTCGCTGTGGACACCAACCCAAACAAATCGCCGATTGAAAGCGCAAATTGTCGTCGACCAATTTTGACCCACTACTACGTGAAACAGGCTTACTGTTGCCAGTTTGCTTGATGCTTTTACTGGTCGTTTAAAATATCGCGACTTGACACACACACACACCACACGCGTCAACCCACACACACACACCCCAACCAAACACAAATCAAATTTCCACAAATGTAGGCCTTCGCTTTCCAACATTCCTATTAGCCACCGGGGCTGGTGAGGTCCGAAAAACGGTAGCGTGTTGATTCCGCCTGGGAAGCACCACTCAGGGGAGAAAACCAAAGGCCTGCCAACAGTACAGGTTGATCGAAGCTAAGAGGTGAGACGGCTGGCACCAAAGGGTCCGAATGAACTTCTTGTCCATATCAAAGCGCTGCACCGCCGTGATTGGCACGTAGTTGATGCGCCCGACATCCTTGGAAACATCGGCGATTGAGCTACAGAATCTGAGCAATTGCGTAATCCGCCGACCCCTTTGCAAAAGCAAAGTTAGTCTCTGCAAAGGGGCGAGGCGTGTTCTAAGTGGTGGTTAGGGGGAGTCTGAGGGGGGGAGGGGGGGTCCCGCAGCGGATTTTTGACACGCCTAACCTCTAACCCTAACCTCTAACCCTAACCTCTAACCCTAACCTCTAACCCTAACCTCTAACCCTAACCTCTAACCCTAACCTCTAACCCTAACCTCTAACCCTAACCTCTAACCCTAACCTCTAACCCTAACCTCTAACCCTAACCTCTAACCCTAACAACCCTAACCTCTAACCCTAACCTCTAACCCTAACCTCTAACCCTAACCTCTAACCCTAACCTCTAACCCTAACCTCTAACCCTAACCTCTAACCCTAACCTCTAACTTTAACCTCTAACCGTGAGGATGGATGATGATGATGAAAGACTAGGAAGATGACGGGAAGCTGACAGAAGACTACGGGAAGATGACGGAAGACTGCGGGAGACGACGGAAGACAAGGAGAAGATAACGGATTAAGACAAGAAGAGTGCGGGAAGATGACGGAAGACTGCACGAAGATGCCGGAAGACTACGGGAAGATGACGGAAGACTACGGGAAGCTGACGGGAAGATGACGGAAGACTACGGGAATTGACGGAAAGATGATGGAAGACTACGGGAAGACAACGGAAGACTGCAGGAAGATGACGGAAGACTACGGGAAGATGACGGAAGACTACGGGAAGCTGACGGGAAGATGAAGACTGCGGGAAGATGACGGAAGACTACGCGAAGATGACGGAAGACTACGGGAAGATGACGGGAAGATGACGGAAGACTACCGGAAGATGACCCTACTCTAACCCTAACCTCTAACCCTAACCTCTAACCCTAGCCTCTAACCCTAACCTCTAACCCTAACCTCTAACCCTAACCTCTAACCTTAACCTCTAACCCTAACCTCTAACCTTAACCTCTAACCCTAACCTCTAACCCTAACCTCTAACCCTAACCTCTAACCGTGAGGATGGATGATGATGATGAAAGACTAGGAAGATGACGGAAGACTACGGGAAGATGACGGGAAGCTGACAGAAAACTACGGGAAGATGACGGAAGAGTACGGGAAGCTGACGGGAAGATGACGGAAGACTGCGGGAAGATGCCGGAAGACTGCGGGAAGATGACGGAAGAGTACGGGAAGATGACGGAAGTACGGGAAGATGACGGGAAGCTGACAGAAGACTACCGGAAGATGACGGAAGACTACGGGAAGATGACGGGAAGCTGACAGAAGACTGCGGGAAGATGACGGAAGACTGCGGGACTGCGGGAAGATGACGGAAGACTACGGGAAGATGACGGAAGACTACGGGAAGATGACAGAAGACTACGGGAAAATGACGGAAAGACTACGGGAGATGATGGGAAGATGACGGAAGACTACGGGAAGATGACGGAAGACTGCGGGAAGACTACGGGAAGAGGACGGAAATGGACGAGAAGACTATGGGAAGCTGCGGGAAGATGACGGAAGACTACGGGGAGATGACGGAAGAATACACGCAGATGACGGAAGACTACGGGAAGATGACGATGATGATGATGATGCTGATGATGCTGCTGAGGATGATGAAGATGATGATGATGATTTTGATGATGATGCTGATGATGATGATGATGGTGATGCCGATAATGATGATGACGCCGCTGATGATGATGACGATGATGATGATGATGATGATGATGGTGACGAGGATGATGATGATGATCAGGAGGATGATGAGGATGATGATCTGACGATGGTGCTGATGCTGGATGATGAGGCTGAGGATGATGATGCTACTGAGGCTGAGGATGATGATGGATGATGATGACGACATGGTGGATGATGACGATGATGATGATGCATCGTCCTCATTATCATCGTCATCCTCCTCATCATCATTATCATCAGCGGCGCCATCATCGGCCTTGCCATCCAGCATCATCATCAGCCTCATCATCCCCGCATGAAGCCAGACGTTGGAGAAAAATCCGGCCCTTGTTATCGCTGAGAGAAAGCCCGGCTCTTCTCCGCCAGACCAAAAGCAGCTTCCGCATCCCCAGCATGCCAGGCATCACCCCAGACACCTGCAGGATGATGCCGGTGAAGCGGGGGATGCAAAAGCTGCCTTTTTTCCCGACATTCGAAGACCAAAAAGGCAGTTCCTGCATCCCCAGCAAGCAAAGCATCACCCCGGGCACCTGCAGGATGATGCTGGTGAAGCGGGGGGTGGATAAGCTGCCTTTTTTCCAAACATTCGAAGACCAAAAAGGCAGCTCCTGCACCCCCAGAAAGCAAAGCATCACCCCGGGCACCTGCAGGATGATGCTGGTGAAGCTGGGGATGCAAAAGCTGCCTTTTTCTACAACGATGGAACACCAAAAAGGCAGCCCCCGCATCCCCAGCATGCGAGACCTTGGCCAATCCTGCTGAGAGACGGAGAAGGGCCAGAGGATGCTGTTACGGGGGTCGGCGGCATCAGGCGTCAGCCTGCTAAATATGTGGTTTCCTTTCTTTTAGAGTTAATGCCATGTTGGGAGTATTCTGGGAAAACAACATGAAAATCGCAATATTGTTTTAAAAACCCTATTTCGAGACACTCAGGTGGCCCTGAAATGCACGAGCATCGCATGCTGCAGGCTAAAGAAAGCACCTGTGGTCAAAAACTCCTCCAGCCAGTCCAACCAAATGCCCAGGCTTTGCGAACGGAAGCTATGCTTCGCCTGAAAGAGGGCTGCAAATCTACCGGCCACGCGGCGGTCTCGGTCTTTTTGGTGCCGGTGGTGTAGACGAGCCGCCAGTCGCCCGTCAAGAAGTGGGCGAAGCCGGATTCTCCCGTTCTGTTCCTCAGGGTTTCCACGGGGTAAAGCGGGGGGCATTTCCAAATGGGCTACAGGACGCTCGCACAGATTGAAACAAACTTGCCGCAGCATGCCCTGGGACTCATAAAGACCAGTCGAGTCTTTGTGTCGACTCACGCTTCCCCAGTTGCACCGAAGTGTCTTCGCTTTCTCCAGCACTCGGATGGCGTCGAAGACTTCTTCGGGATCCGTCCTCAGTTCATAAACTCTGAGAGAAGCCATGTGCAAGAAGGCAGCCGAGAATAAAGCAAACCTGTTATAGTATCCTTGAAGGCCACACCTGTGAATCAATCTGGACGTCTGCAGAGCTGCGTACACTTGCCGAGCTGCTCTTTAGTCAGAGCTGACTGGGCTAGGATGTCCAGCGCAGCCTGTCAGATTTTGCTGAGCTTCAACACTCCAGCGAATTTCCAGGGCACAAGAAACCCTGGACAGCATCTAAGGGAGGGTCCCCAGGTCTATCTTTGCAATACGCACTGAGTTTACCCAGAGGCAATGGCTAAACTGTTGGAACCTGCGCTAGAAAAAGACCAGGCCAAGAAATCAAAGGTTGACCGTTTGGAACCTGGGCTACAAATAGACCAACCTCGCTTCCCTTTGGACACATCTTTGCAACCGCCCCGCTTCGGCTGAAATACATCCACATTTTTCTCTTCGGCCACATGGATGGGTTGATCAAAAGGTCCAAACATGGGGTGACCATTGGGTGGAGGTGCCAAGGAAAAGGAGGTCCTTTGCATGGAAGACCATTTGGTGAAGCCCGACTCCAAAACTTCCATTTGGTTAAGAGCCCTGGAAAAATAGATTCCCTTTAAAACCAACAGCATATATGTGTTTTTTTAAAGCAACTGGAAGTAAAGCGGCAAGTGGATGCACGTGCAAGCACTGAGCCGTCCATCCTCATTCCTCCCTTGGGGCGCCTGCTTTGACTCTGCTGGCGCTGCCTGCGAGGTGGCAACTCGGCGAAGCCATAATCCGCTCAGCTGCCCAGTGGCCGCTCTTTTTGTTTTGGATCGAACTGTCCGTAATTGAACAAACAAGTTGCCAAATCACTGAGCACGACAGATGCTTTTCCAGCCCATTTGCCAAACCAACGCAATCCCGTCGGAAGGCGGTTCAGCTGACTAAGGTCCTTGATTCATGACCAAGTAGACGGTCCCAACAACATCGCCCGCAAAACTTCTAACCCTGGTGGAAGATTGCTGTCGCCCATCCCCCCCGCCAAAAAAAATACTCACACGCACAAAGAACTAAGAAAAGAACCTCCGCCTCTGCTGCCCGCGCCACCCGCGGCGCGCTTTTGCCCACCGCGCCGCAGGCAGAGGGCAGAACCCTTGGCGCGGGTTGTGCCAGGAAGGCGCAGCCGAAGGGCGCCAGGAGGGCCCTCGGCGTCGATGGGCGAGTCGGGGAATCCGGGTCGGGGGTCGAGGCCTCGAGTCGGACTCCCAGCGAGTGCCACCACGAGAAGGCGATTTCTTTGTAGCGGGATTATCTCGTGCTTTTCCCGGTTGGAAGGTGGAAAAGACCCGAGCCAATAGCATTCAAGCAAGGAAACCATCATTCACCTCAAACAAACTTGGGAGGTACATTTTTTGCACACAACATCTTGTCCGGCTTGGCAGTTCACCTGGTTGAATCGACGCAACATAACCCGATTGCAAACGTGACAGCTCCGGCCAACCCTACTGAACACTGGCAGTGCTTCCAGCTACCACCCATAGTAGGTAACCAGGTATGTCTACCTCTAGGTGTTACATCATGTTTTCCTTGGCGACCCTGGCATCTGGTAGAACAAGGGAACCGATTTCGGGCCTGAGCTTTTTGGTGGGAAGCAAAATGACTTGGAGGGTGCATGCCACCCAGCAGTTACATCCCAGAAACTTTCCCTCACTTGGAGCCGCAAAAGCAAACGTCAACTTGTTGCTGCTTCAAACGGGCACCAAGGAAACCAAATGGAACTTGATCACCTCTGGGCTGTTCCCATATCCAGAAAGGAAACCCAACAACGGCCAAATTGGTTGAGGAACCGCCACGAAATACTGAACCGCCGGCACGCCAGCACTCCCCGGACCAAGCTAAGCGCAGCACCAAAGCCAAACCCGGCGGGAGGCTTTCCGGGCCATGGCCAAAGTAAGTGGCGCTTGCGTCACTGACAAACAGTTCCTGGCTGCGAAAACCACGTAGCTACTTTGCGCTTTGCCCCAGGCTCGTCAACGGGCGTGGGGTCGCACTCGCTGCATTAAATGCAAAGGGCATGCAATGGGCATGCAGGCATGTTCATGTCCGCTCAGCTGAGGACACCAAATGATCTTGCCAATCCAGTCTCGAGCCGCTGCCCGAGAGAAGCATTCTTCGACAGGCGTGCAATCTTCAAGACCCATGGCCAACGCACATCCCAATCGTCTTGTGGGAACCTCTCTGTCTCAACCGCTTCGAAGATTCCGCCTGGTAGGCCACTGCTGAAAAACCTACTGAACTGACAAGCCAAAGTGTTTTTCCGGCCCGAGGAAATGACGCAGGTCAACCTGTTGATTTGCACAATCGCATGTATCAAATGTTGTTCTAAACGTTGTATTTCATTCATGTTGGCTTCTCTCAATAGCAGCTGTAAACCAAAAGGCCCCCCCCCCCCCCCCAAAAAAAAAAGAGGCAACATCCACCTATGTCAGAATCGACCACGGCTGCCGATTCCCACCTCGCGGGAGATTCTGCTGAGAATGTAGACAACGAGGTAAGAGCCTCCCCGGAAAAGGCTCGCGGCGGAGACATAAGCGTAGCAGGCATGGTTGCAGGCTCACGTACCCAAACGCTTCGTGCAGCGAAATTTTGCCCACCAGCATCTCCCCTGTGCTGAAAACGCCCAATGAATGTGCGATCAACAAGTACGGGAAAAATGCTACAAGCAACACCCTAAGCACGCGAAAATAGTGTTCAGGCCTGAACAGAAAAATATGCATAAAGTCTATTATAACGTCGATTGTAGCCACGACCGGTCCCCATGCCTATCAAGAGCACGATCAGAGCAACCTCGGGACAAGCGACAACTCAAACCCTGAACCAGGCTGCCATACATGCCGACCTTCAAAACTGCAATCAACGCTTCCAAGTTGAAAAGTTGGAGGGTGGCATGGCGACGGGCTCCGATTCCTCTCTTTGTTTTTCTCCGTACTCTCGGGCCTTGTCCTGGTCCCCCTCCTGTCTTTGAGATTTACCCTTTGTGTCTTGGCTCATGTTGTTTCCTTTCGTTCTGCCCTTCTTTACCTTTGTCCGCCTTCGTGCGATCCAGCTTGCAATGTTCCCTCCAAAGGTACGTGTTCAACTACTCCACCTTCTGGTGTTTTGCTGGCGCTGCATTTCGTTGCTGCAGCGCGGATATGCATAAAGAATTCTCGCTTCCCCTGAGCCGACCAAAACCAAAAAAACAGTCTAAACCTTTTGTTTGCCACCAAAATGGCTCCAAACCCACGAAGTTTAATGTCCAGGAACTCAGGAAGAGAGAAATCAGCTGACTTCGTCGCGACCTCCCCTTTCCTTTTCTTGAGCTATTCCTTCAAGCCTCCGTCGACCTGCTTTGCTTCGTGCATTGGTGGTTCTTGATGTGTCTCGTTCGCGTTTTCTAGCTTCCTGAGTGGAAGGCCAAATGAAGTCTGAACTTGTTGGCCACTAAAAATGTCATACCAACAAGTTTAAAGCCCAGGAACTCAGGAACTGAGTTTTGGACTATTGGCTCAATTCGTCTTGCTTTCCCGCCATGTGTTCCAATCTTGATGTTTCTCGGTGGCTTGCTGCGCGAAGTTCCAAGGCCACATGCTCGTTCCAGGTCTGTTCCCTTGCAAGTGCTTGAGAGGGACACACGTGCCATGGGGATACCATAAAAAATTGCACATTGCTTTCTGTCATGTTTGGTACAGCCACAGCTGAGTCATCTCTCTCTATGGTTCACCCGGCAGGCCAGATTTGGAGTCGGGGGATTCGTGAAAGGGCGCTGCCGCCTCTCGAATGATTACTACCCTCATCTTTTCTCCCCACCTAGAATGGCATGGTTAAACTACTGTCCACTGTGTGTCCAAATTCTCAGGGCTGATTCCCCATTGTTCATTGTCCTCACCCATCGTTCCTATACACCATCAATTTCCCAAGGGTTTGGACCAGTTTTGTTTGAAGAAGGATCCCTCAAGACAATGGGGAAGGCAAAGCTATAAAGATGGCGGACCACAATTGGCGGCTTTCCATTCAAGCTGAACATGGTGCCCTCAAAACTCAAAACACACGTATGCATGTATATATATATATATGTGTGTGTGTGTGTGCATCGCAAAACAGAACCATTTGGCTCCAAAACCACATGTATATGTGTATATATATATATATGCATATACATATAAGATGGATAGAAACCGAACAAGAAAGCAAATGAATGCGCCGAAAGCCAGGCTCCAGGCGATGGTCGCCGCCTTCCGCGCCAGGAACTCGCAGTTCGTGCGTCCGACCTGGGAGTCGAGTCCGGGCTACGCGACGCGGGGAAAAGCGCCACTTGGTGGCTGCTGTTGGCCCCTCACAAAGCGCTGACCACTTGTGGGTTCCTCACATGCCCGGTGGATTTCCATGGGGAAACAAGGGCACCCTTTTTTGTTGGTTGGGTTTGAAGGGCAACCCTTCCCAAGAAAAATGGAAAACCGGGCACCACTGGGCAACCAAGGTTCAACACGCAAAGCCCGGCCAAGCAAAATATCAGCAGATGGGCAAACAACAGGTTTAAAAGAGTCAGCAAATGGCCAAACAACATGAGTTACTCCACTGTGAGGGGGTGCAACATGTGAAAAACAAATACAATCAACTCATGTCATGTGTTTCTGTCCAATCCTTGGGGAGCCAAAAACTGTTGTTTTGCAGCCACTGGCTGCAAATGAACAGAACCAAACAGCTAAAACAACCCAAACACTGAGGCACTACAAAAACAAACTAAAAAAAATACACAACATGCCAAAAGCTGCTGGGAGATCCTTGCATCAGCGACGCTTGCCAGCGTTGGCTTTGAGGTCAACGAGTCCGTTGCTTCCCCAAACTGCTCCCCCAATTTTGTTGGACTCAAACTGGCTCTTTTCAGGTCTTCCAGCTTCTCCAAATAACTGACCGAGTCAGTGTTGGGAATTGGGGACCAAACGGGATTGTTTATAGGGGTCATTTCCTGATTCCCTGCTGAGCACAAGCAAGATCAACTGCAAGCAGTTGGGAGCCCGGTTGAAAGCGAATCGAATGCCCCCCGAGTGTCCAGCATCCAGCCAGTTGATGTCTGTGGGGTTAGGAGCGCGCGAGACTTTCAGCTTATACCTCAAGGCCAGCAGAATTTGGACACATTGGCACGATCAGAGTTGGGACCTTTTCATTATTTTGCTTGCCCGTGCTTCCAATTGCCACTATAGTACTATAGTAGGCAACCAGGGATTCTTACCTCTGTGTTTTATCTGACGGTCTTGTCCAGTGGATTAACTGCAAAAAAAATGGAACTAGAAGCACTCGTGGTGTTAGATGTTGCTCACTTTTTTGTCATGCCCTTGGTGTAGAGCCAGTGAGGAAACGTGGGGGGGGGAATAACACAAAGAGCAAACCTTGCCACCCGCTTCATGTGACCAGACGCCCATTCAATGCGCCTAACTGTGCCCGGAGGCTTCGAACGCTAATCAGTTGAGCACAGTGAGGGTCAGGAGGACGAAAAAAAACAAGCAAGCAAGCAAGCAAGCAAGCAAGCAAGCAAACAAACAAACAAACAAACAAGCTGTGGGCTAGGGTGGTCACGGGTTGCGGCTGTAAAAGTACTAAGTGCAGCCTTTTTGTCGCATGGCGACTCACAAGATTTAGGGCACACAGGTTGGATTCTGGCACCTTGGTTCATCCCCTGGGCAGCTTGGCACGCGCGCTCCCCCGATGCATACGACACACGCTGAACACAACAAACATCTGCAATCAACGAGGAGAATAATTTCGGAATAAACAGCAGCTCAAATCATCTGACAAACGCCCTGTTGGTTCATCTGGAATGTTGTGATGCCTTCCTGGACTTTGAAGCAGCACAATCAGCCATGGCAGTCCTGTGCTTGCACCCAGGAAGGCAGTCTTAAATAATAATCTTGCATGCAAAGCAATTCCTCTGAGACGGGCACAGCGGTCGCCCACCCACCTGAGTCAAGATGGACTCACTGGCAACTTGATGAGAGCCAGCGGGTAAAAACCGTTGAGAATGGAGCCATGCTTGGTGGAAACATGGGTTGCAGCTAGTGAGGGCATCTTCTATTCAACGGAACCCCACCCAGGTTCGATGTGGGCTGTCTCGGCATCATGGGCAACTTCATTTGAAAGGGCCCCGCAAACACTGGACGAAGCCCTGACCAACCCCAAGTCTGATTCCGCCCTTGGCCCCCAACCAAGTGCTATTGTGGCTTCTGGGCCATTTGAGTGACCCTTAGAATCCTGATCTCCCCGGAGACGGGGAGAGCTGCCACCCAGCCACCCCGCCTCAAACTTGGGCAAATCCGCGGCAAAGAGCCAAGGGCACCTGGAAGCCGAAAACGACGCAGGGAGGGAACCCCAGAACGGTCTGACAAGTTGGCAGCGCTGATCCAAGTGGATCCGTGCGCAGTTTGAGTCATCTCCTACGGTATCATCGGCTTTGGGAAGAAGGGGCGAGAGAGAAACATCCACTAGGTCCTCCTGTAGAGAAGCTAGAATAAGGGTACGCTTTTTTCTGTAGTCCATTTTAGCAGGGGAACCCTCCCCCGAAAAAGGGCAAAAGGGCACTACTGGGCGATCAATGAGAAACGGAAATAGCCTATGGAATAACCTTTTGGGGCCATGGCTTAAAATGGACCAAAGCGGGAAAACCGAAAGGTCAGATCCGGTCGATTCGCTTCGCGCAACTGAGAAGAAAGCGACTCACTCGTCTTAGCTCTCCGGGGTCCATGAGGCCACGGGGCAGGGCACTCTTTGTGCTGACGGAAGGAATGGGTATGGCGCAAAATGAAAGAGCCAGGGCAAACCGCGGGGTTTAGTCTTCTCACTTGCCCAAAAGACCTGGAAATCAAAGGTGATCACCTTTTGGGACCTTTACTAAAAATGGACCAATATGGGAAAACCAAAAGGTCAAAAGG